GTCCAAGAGCCCCCCAAGAGAGCCCCAAGAAGGGCTCCAGGGCGTCCGCAACGTCGACGTCGCCGCCGCCGCCATCATCGTCGTCGCCATCCCCCTTCAGGGTCGGTGGCATCGACCGCAAGGCCTTCCCAATAGATCGACACAAATCCCAAGGCCCCCACCATGTTTACAGATTGTCTAGGTGGTCGTCTTCCCCTCCACTCCCACTTTTTGTCCACATGTCTTCATGTGAATCAACCTGTGGGTGTGTCTGTGTGCATTTTGCCTCCCTGAGTCTTGGGGCCCTCATGGAGGCGGCCGTCTTGTGCCCGCTCACGACGATCTTGGCAGTCCGGGGCCTTGGCCGTCCCGGGCTCGAAGGCCGCGCTCGGGCTCGGGCTCGGGCTCGGGTCTGCGGAGGGATGGGCAAGATAGTCCAGAATCGAATACCGTTCGAATCGGAGATCGACATGGATCCGATTGGCGGAAATCGGTAGCCAAGTCAGCGGGAGAAACCGAATCGGAGGAAATCGGCAGGGCTCGCGAGGCCTCCGTTGAGACACCGAACTCCAAATCAGGATCCGAAATCAAATCGAATCGGAAACGGGATCGATCGAAAAATCAAATCGAATTGAAACGGGAAAGTCGAAATGAGCCATGCGGGTGGTGGCCCGTGATACCTGATGCCGGTCTACTACTCGAGCTCTCTGCAAAAAGCTAGCATAAATATGCAATCACTTTTGTGCCATCGAGCATTGTTTGAAGTATTTCCTGATGTTAACAGTCAGGTCAAAGCTCTGGCTGTTCTGGCAGAGCACTTCATAGTCGTGGGCGGCAAGCTCTTCTCATGGCGACTTCGGCGACGGTCTCCGACGCCGCGTGGATCCTTCAGCCCTGGACGATTGCGGCCCTCAGGGAGCGCAGACATCGTCCACCGTTGGTCGGCTTCTGGCCGCCTGTGGCGTTCCACCTTGGAACGTCAGCGGAACGGTGGTCGCTGGGACGGCACGACAAGACATGGCACCTACCGTGCAAGCACGAAGCAAGACGACGTGGAAGGTAGGCTAGGCATCCGCCCGCCCGCTGAGGAAGGGAAGACAAACAGGGGAGCCCGTTCGGATGGGGCAGAGACAGGAGTGCGCCTAAAGAGTGCTGTGACCTGGGGAAAACGCAAGGACCTTTCAACGAGCGATGGGCACGGCGGGTCGTCGAGTTTGGTGTTTCGACGCCTGGCGTCCCAAGACACTCCATGTTGTTGATGGGCTTGATGGGGTGGATCCCGCGGGGGGGTCGGAATGGGCCGTCTGGCGCTGGGCGTTGTGGGGAAGATCGCGGCAAGGGGTCGGTAAGGTACGCAGGGAAGGGAGAAGGAACGGCTAGTTTGGCGGGGTGGCAATGGCGGGTCTCATCAAGCAATTTGGAGAATGAGAAGCCAGAGCGTCTGCGCACCGAATCCCACCATCTCTCTGGGCGTAGGTGGTCGAACGAGGTCTTTCTCTTCCAACAGCCCTTTTTCCGCTTCGGGGAGGGCGAAGGGGTCTGCGCGGAAAGGGGATGCGCGGAAAGGGGATGGAGGTGTCAGGGGAGTCCTTTTTTGCCCAAGATGGCTCCAAGAGGGCTGTTCGGCGCCGCCTTTGCGCGGCTTCTGCGTTAAACCGAATGTTTTTGTGGCGGCAACCGCGTTGCAAGAGTGTCCCGCTGCAGGGGTCGTTCGGCCGTTCGCGCCGCCCAGCTCCGCAAATGAAAACGCTTTGGCGCGCAAACACCGGAAGTTGTGTCGGCCTCCCATGCTCCAAGATGGCCTCCAAAATGGCGCAAGGTAGCCGACGATGGTTCAAGGTAGCTTCCGTCCGACATGCCTCCAAAAAGCCCCAGGCCCCAAGATGGCCGCGAGACGGCTCCCAGATACCCTCGAAATTCAAAATCCTTGCTAAAGAAAGCAGGTGAACTTTGCCTTCTCGCCGTTTCGCGTCCGATGGGCCTCTGTGGCCTAAAGATGGCTCCGATATGGCCCAAGGGAGCCCCAAGATGGGGCCCCAAAGGCCCCCCAGGCGGCCCCAAGAGCGCCCCGAGAGGGACCCAAGAGACTGTTTGAGGACTCTTGAGGGGGAGCCTGGAGCCCAAGTAAGGGACCTCCCTCTTGGCCTCCAAGATGGTCCCCAGAGGCCTTTCAGGGCTCCCAAGAGGCGCCCAAGAGGGATCCAAAAGGACCCCGAGACCCCCCGAACGAGCCCCGGTGGGGGCCCCGAGAGGGCCCTGGGAGAGCCCCAAGAGGATCCCAAGAGGGCCTCAAGACGATCAGCTCTCATCGGCAGCGCTTCTGAATGGGCTGGTGGAATGCGCGAAACTGCAGAATTCCCTGGCCGACCAGTCGACGACGTGTGTTTGGCGTGGGGGAAGCCTGATGGAAACAGGTTCTGGACTGAAGTCGGGCCTGTCCCCCTACAGGGGGATTTTAGACGAAACATTGAAAATACCCACTAAAATTGCCCCGAAATTGACAAAAGGGGTCAAACATCGTCCCCTGACTATTTTTTGACTACCTCGGAATATTCCCCCTGTAGAGGGACAGGCCCGACTTACTCCTGGATTCAGGGCCATCCCCAAGGACGACGTTTTCTGACGGCCCCAGGGCCCGTGGAGGGCCCCGAGAGCCATGCACCGCCAACGAACACGTCGGGACCAGTCTCCCCCATGGCGAGTGCGTGCGTGATCGAAGGGGCACAGGGACACACCAATAAATAGACACAAGTAACAGGATTCCCCATCTTTTCCCATATTCTCTGAGTTGTTGAAGTCCCCCCACTCCCCATATTTTCGCATATTTTCCTGGGAGTCGGCAACTCACTGTGTCTGTGTTTTTTTCCCTCTTGAGTGATGCCCCTCTCCCGAGGACCGGATGCGCGTCTGCAGCACCAACGAGGGGTTCCTTGGGAGGCGATCATATTCCTCCTCCTTCCCTCCTCCCCCTCCTCCTCCTCCTCCTCCTCCTCCTCCTCCTCCTCCTCCTCCTCCTCCTCCTCATCCTCATCCTCATCCTCATCCTCATCCTCATCCTCATCCTCATCATCATCATCATCATCATCATCATCATCATCATCATCATCATCATCATCATCATCATCATCATCGTCCTCCTTCTCATCCCTCGACGAGACAACTTCAGAACGCACCCACGATCCTCCAGCCTCGCCTGGCCGTTCTTGCGTCAATCCTCCGTCCACTCCCGCCTTCACTCTACGTCCTGCCTCCATCCCTCCGACCTGCCCTCCCTCCTCTCGGAGCTCCTGCACCCTGTGAGGTCCGCGGAAATGACCTGCTCCTGACCCGCGGGCGACAGCTGTCTCAGCATGTTGGCCACGGACCCCTGCACGTTGTTGCGTGCGATGTAGGCCTCCGCCGCCACCGTTGTCGTGGCCGGCGACGCCGTCCTCCTCCTCCTCCTCCTCCTCCTCTTCCTCCTCCTCCTCCTCTTCCTCCTCCTCCTCGTCACCCTCCTTTGATTGGAAGTCCGAGGATACGTTGGATGTGTATATTTGAGAGAGCGTGATCCACCGCCGCTTTACTGTGGAAAATTGCCCCCCTCTTCCTCCGGAACCCGGGGGTCCCCCCCCCCATCCGAAAATCCCCCCCCCCTCCCCTCCCCCCCCGGCAAACCCCCCCCTCCCCTAACCCCTCCCCCCCTCCCCCTCGAAAACCGAGGGGGGTCACTACCGGTTCGAACCCCCCCCCCCTCGAAAACCAGAGGGGGGGTCACTAACGGTTCGAACGCCTCCCCACCCCCCCACTCACCGCCAGCAAACGACTCCCGGACCCTACCACCGTCCGCATCGCATCCCCCACTGTTGTTCCCAGCACCACTGTCCTCACCACCACTGTCCCCACTGGTTCCACCACCGTCCCTACTGTCCCCACCAGTGCCCCCACCACTGTCGCACTGTTCCCACTGTCCCCACCACTGTTCCCACCACGGTTCCACTCTCCCCACTTTCTCCACGGCCCCAACCACTGCCCGACTATCCCCACTGTCCCCACTGTCCCACTGACTCCTCCGCTGTCCCACTGAGCTGTCCCACTGTTCCCACCACTGTCCCCACTGTCCCCACCACTGTCCCCACTGTACCTCTGTCCCATTGTCCCACCGCCGTCCTCGCCACCGCCTTCACCACTGTCCCCACCACCACTGTACCCTCCACTGTCCCACTGTTTCCACCTCATTCCCACTGTCCCCACACCACTGTCCCCACCACCACCGTCCCCACTACTGTCCACTGTCCCCAGTTCCCACCATTGTCCTCACCACTGTCCCCCCACTACCGTCCCCACCACTGTCCCACTGTCCCCACCACTGTCCCGCTGTCCCCTCACCACTGTCCCCACCACCACCGTACCCACCACTGGGTTCGAACCAGTAGTGACCCCCCCCCCTTTTCATGATGAACTGGGGGGGGGAGGGGTTCGAACCGGTAGTGACCCCACCCGGTGTTCCGGAGGGGGGGGGGAGGGGTTCGAACCGGTAGTGACCCCCCCCGGTTCCCCGCACACGCTCTTTCGTATATTTTGCTCTTCTTCGAGCGACAATCGACTGTTGGGCGCTTTGAGCCTACAGAAGCCTTCAAGAACAGCTCCATCTGGGGGGTTGGGAATACGTATCGTATCGTTTCTTTTCCTGTTTCGTGCCTCTGGAGCTCTCTCGGGACAGCTCCTGCTGCACCACACCCGCATCGTCATCTCCCATGTCCCTCTCCTGCTCCCACTTTCCCCCTCACGTATCCTCATCCTCCTCCTCCTCCTCCTCCTCCTCCTCCTCCTCCTCCTTGTCCTCCACCTCCTCCTGCTTCCTCGTCGCGCTCCCCTCCTCCAACCCTCCTCATCCTCCGCACTTCCCCCTTTCCTCCACATGCTTCGTCATGCTGCGCGCGACGCAGGCCTCCACCGCGGAGTCCGCAGAAGGCGCGCCGCCGCCGCAGCCGCCGCCCCCGCCGCCGGCACAGCCGGCTCCGCCGCAGCCGGCTCCGCCGCAGCCGCCGCCGCAGCCGCCGAAGCCGCCGCAGCCGCCGCAGCCCGCGAAACCCTCGGCGCCGCCAGCGTTGCTGGCGCCGCCGGCGCAGCCGCCGCAGCTGGCGCAGCCGCCGCAGCTGGCGCAGCCGCCGCAACCCGCGAAGCCCTCGGCGCCGCCGGCGCAGCCGCCGAATCCGCCGCAGCCGCCGCAGCCGCCGCAACCCGCGAAGCCCGCGGCGCAGCCAGCTCCGCCGCAGCAGCCGCCACCGCAGCCGAAGAAGCCGCCGCAGCCGCCGCAACCCGCGAAGCCCTCGGCGCAGCCAGCGAAGCTGGCGCCGCCGCCGCAGACTCCGACGCCGCCGCTGCAGCCTCCGCAGCCGCCGGTGGCACAGCCACCAGCGCCACCACCGCCGCAGGCGCCGCGCAGGTCGCGGATGCGCGACTGGACCACGGCCGAGGGGCTCCTGCAGCCGACGAGGTCCTTCTGCACGACCTCTGCAGGGGCACAAGGTGGGGATTCAGGGACTTTGGGTGTCCAAGTTGCCACAGATTGGCCAGCCCACGGGCGGGTTTTTGGAAGAAACCGAAATGGTCAAAACATCAAACCTAGTCAAAAGAGCACGACACATCGTCACCACACTATTTTTGGACTATTTTTGAATATTTCCCTCCTGTAGAGGGAGATGTCCGACTTAAAACTGGCTGGTCAAGGCGAACAGAAACAAGCGGGCCAACTTGATTCTCTGTCGAGTTGGAACTCCTCTCGCTTGACATCCTTCCCCCCCGTCGCTGCCCTGGCGCCAGCCTCGTCGGTTTCAATGAGCTTTGGGGGTCCTCCCATTGTTTTGCACTCCGACCGGGAGTGGCCTTAGGCTCAGGTCGGGCATGTCACCCTACAGGCCGATTTTGGACGAAAACAGAAGAACAAAACAAAAACCAAACAACTATTCACAACATAATCGACAAATCGTCCCCAGACCATTTTTCTGACTATGTTTGAATTTCCCCTCTGTAGAGGGACACGCCCGACTTAACCTTGGGCGATTTCTGGCCGGTGCCCTCATCAACCCCCAGCACTTTTCTCGGCCGTCGGCAGAAGTTGCCCAGGCCACTGAAAGTCTGCTGTCACCTTCAACGACAACAAGGATAAGGTTAGGTCGGGCGTGTCCCCATACAGGCGGATTTTGGTCGAAAAAATGTCAAACAATATTGCCAAAACGCTCAACATACTCAAATAATAGTCCCACGACTACCTTTATTGCTTGTGTTTTGGCACGCTTGCGCAAGAGACGCCGGAGGTTGGCAGGACAGGCGAAAGGTTTCGCATATTGTTCGGCTCCTTCCCTTGCAAGAAGACCTCTCGTGACTCCCTCGCCCTCCGTCCTCCGCCTCGTCGTCCCATCCCCCTCCAAGGCATCCAACGCAATGATTTTGTTCGTGGCATGGCCCCCCAGACAACTCGACCCCATCCTGGGCAACAACGTTCGGGGATTGACAGAATCCCCCCTTTAGTAAAACGTGGTTTAGTGAAAACGACCTCGGGCCCAAACCTGGCGGGCGCAAGCCTGGAAAATGACGGCCGCGGCGCCCTCTCGAGAACCGAAAATGGACAATTCACTAATCGACGTGTCAGGGTGGCGGTTCTGTCCACCCCCGAGACGTGTCATCCCGATTCGTTCTCCGATGGTCCTGGGCCGCCGACATGGGCCGTGGTGGTTTTCTCCTGACGACGGAGGCCCGGGTTCTCCCCTCCAGATCATGCGCTACCGAGCATCTTCGGCAACGCTGTGGACGAGCCTGTCGCAGCTGCGACCGAAATTCGGCCTCCGGTCGCGAACTCTGGTAACGAACAAGCCGCTGACGGCCTCGAACCCTAGATTGGACCCCGACATGCCGTCTCTTCGAGGCCAAAACTCGACCCCCTCCAATCGCGACCACAGTTCGGCACGCAAGAAATCCGGTACTGGCGGTTTCGAATGATCTGGGTCCATTAGAGGCCTCCCAGATTGGGTCCGAGCAGGCCGGGTCGGAGGATCGCGCCGCCTTGCCAAGGTACAGTCGGACTAGGATACTCGAAGAACACCAAGGACATGCGGGTTGCATAGGTCCGGATAGACAGGACACAAGGGTACCCTCGATTTGGCATGGTCGACCTACCACTCAGGGCCGAGTGTATCGCCGATGCATCGGCGATGTTGGCGATTACTCGGCGCGATCGGCGTGGAGAATGCTGCCTCCACATGTGAGCCACATCGTCAACGTATCGGCGATGTATGGCGATCCTCGGGCCCCATCTGCTCGGACCCCATCTGGGAGGCCCAGAATTATCGATGTCTTCTCCTCATCCGGCGATCCCTCGCCGTCGCCAGGGCATTGGAGGCTTGAAAGTGGGCACGAACACCAACAATGGGGGTTGCCTCCACCAAAGGAATACGATGAGATTGTGGCGTCGGTGGTACTCCTTCTGGCACCTAGAGATCATCTACCCGGACCCCGCCTGACTACCTACCAAGCCCAGAGTCACCCTTGGGCTCGTTGATTTCCGGTGGGGGGTGGGCACTCTGGCACATCGAGAAGACACGGTGGCACTCTCAAACCACCCAGCCCGAAAACCAACTGGGTCTGGGACTTTCGGGTTGGGTCGGGGTGGCGTGGTAAGCCCGGTCGGGCCTAGGACAGAAGACCACCCCTCAAGCACACGAGGCCCTCCGCCCTCCAAAACACACACACACACACCGAACGTCCGAGGGTACGCCTCCCCAGAATGCACAAGAGCATCCAGCAAATTAGAGGCCTCCTAGATGGGGTCGGAGTAGATGGGGTCGGAGGATCGCGCCGTATCGCCAATACATCGGCGATGCATCGCTGATGTATCGGCGATGCATCGGCGACGTCGGCGATGCATCTGCGACGCCATCGTGGGGAAAATCGGGCTCCACATCGAGCCGCATCGGCGATGCATCGGCGATGCGGCGCGATCCTCCGACCCCATCTACTCCGACCCCATCTAGAAGGCTTAGACAAATACAAAAAAGCATTCGGGTACCCTCCGCGAAACGACCTCGATCTTAGACCTCGGTCCAACCGCGGTAACCACCTGGGATGCCCAGCATCCACGAGAAGCACGGGCCCTGCGGACCCGACCCGAGGAGGGCGCGGCTCTGCCCGAAAGGGGCGACGACGGCCCGCCCTGAGAGGGGAGCCCGGGGGCAGGAGGGAGTGATAGGCGTGTTTTCCACCACCACCACCATAAGTTGGAGGGGGGGGCCCTCCTCCTCCTCCTCCTCCTCCTCCTCCTCCTCGTCCTCCTCTTCGCCCTCCTCCTCCTCCTCCTCCTTCCCCCCTCTAAGATATGGTGGTGGTGGAAAACAGGCCCATCAGGAGGGAAGCCTCCGGAGATCCGCGGGAGCACGCCGCGAAAGTATCGCCGACGCGATCCACTTTCCCGTACCGTCCGCTGGCGGCGAGCGGGGGGGGGGAGTGAGAAGGACAAGGCCTTCTCAGAAGGCGGCGAGACTGCTGAGAAGCCCTCGCGCCTTCTGAGGGTTTTTTCTTGCGTATCTGGGGGAGGCTCAGAAAACTTCTCAGAAAGCTTGGGGACTCTCGAGCCTTCTGAGAAGGCACATCCCTTCTCATTCCCCCGTCGCTCGCCGCAGAGTCGGGGAGGGCGGCGAAGTATGAATCGCTGGCCCTCGTTAGAATTCATACACCGACATCCTCCCCTCTGAGGCCCAGGGACAGCCCACTGGAGCATAGGTGGGCATGCTTGTGTTATGTTGTTCCCATCGCACTCAGGGCGAAAGTTTTTCTGGTGGCCAATGCTAAAGTACGTCGGCGCTGGAGGTGTGGACGAGGGAGAAGAGCGAGAGATGAAGAGGATGAGGATGAGGATGAGGAGCAGGAGGAGCAGGAAGAGCAGGAGGAGGAGGAGGGGGACCAGAGCAAGCACAAGGCTCACCAACAAAGTTGCAATTCACCTTCCCTCCAGGTTCCAATGCTAATGCTTGTAGCCCCCCGAGGCATCCCGAGGGTCCCCGGGCGTCTCTGGGAGGCCCCCGCGGAGGCTGCTCTGGCGCCGCTCCTTGCTTGCGGGGGCGGACGGCCCCCCCCCGCGCATGGCTGGGCACCGTGAGGGAGGCCGCGGCTGGTGCGCGTCGTGGCGTCTTCTCGGCGCTGGCTCCCGACACCGAGCGGCTCCTTCGACCGAGCGGACCGCGCAACCTTGAATCAGGTCGGGCACGTCCTCCTACGGGCACATCTTGGAAGACAACTTACACATAGTCCAGCAAAGAATCCAAGATGGGCAAAGTGCTAGCAACGTCCTCCCCAGAAGATGTTTCTACGATTCTTGAGTATTCCGCCCGTGGAGGGACATGCCCGACTTAGACATTGAACGATCGGCGGCGTTCCGATCGCCGGATCGTTCCACGTGGGCCGATTCTGGGCCACCAGCGGCGTTCAGCCCTGAACGCCTGCGCTGGGGCCAATACCGCGTCGGCCCGACAGGAACATACCTTTGGGACGGCCGAGATGGGTGCGAAGAAAGGAAAATGGGTACGATGCCCAACAACAACCGGTGTCCAAAACCGATAGAGGCCGCTGCTGGGCGGACGGCTTTCAGTCTTCAGTGGACAGCGTCCGAACTGAACTTTTTCTCACTCGGCGCTTCGACAGTGGGCGAAGGGGGGGGAGGGGGGGGGGGGGTCTGGCTCCGGACCTCTGCTTAACGCGGCTGCTTGCAGCAGTGCGACTTACCCTGCTCGAAGCAGGCGCCCACACAGCCAAGATCTACTCCATGGGGGTGGGGCAGGGCGAGGCGAGGGCCCGCCCGCGCCTGTCGGCAACACAATGAACAAGGGAACGTTCGCGAGGCGGCGCGGACAGCGAGCCCTGCTCAAAATGATAAAAAAACAACTGCTGTCGGTCTTTGTGCCCCTTCTTTCCGTACCCTTTTCGATCGTCCAGAATACAGTCATCGGCCTGACCTAAGGAGCGATACGTCAGGAACGAATAGCCTCTTCTTGCTCCAGGTAAGGCTACGGAGTCCGAAGGAACGGCCGAGCCCCTACCTGGCGGCTTTCCGCCACGATCTGCTTTTGCAATTCGACCACCGCCCCTTCTGCAAAGCTGAGGAACGACCGAGCCCCTTTTGAAGACTTATTTGAGGAGGAAGAGGAGGAAGAGGAGGAGGAGGAGGAGGAGGAGGAGGAAAAGAGGAGGAGGAGGAAAAGAGGAGGAGGAGGAGCCTTTTTGGAGGAGTAAGCGCTCTTTCTTCGAGCCGCTCGCTGCACCGTGCGAGCAGCCTCCTCGTCACTGCAGCGAGGGAGGCGTGGGGCCCGGGGAGGGCGGGGGAACCTCGAGGCCGAGGGCGGCGCCCCTGCGCCTGGCCGTGGTTCGGAGGAGGCCTCCCCCGCCCCCCTGCCCCTGCGGGCAGCACTTGTGCCCACATCCGGTGCGTCTCGGACTTTCTTGGAAGGGGCGCCGTGAGGCAAAGGCGCACCGGATATCCAGTGACTGGATGTGGACAGCGAGGCGCTCCGGACATATCCATACCCAGAGCGCCTCGGGTTTATGAGGAATGGAGCCTGAAACTCCAAGCTGAAGTGGATATGAACACAAGGCTTGCCTCCCCCCCCACCACGTCCCTCTGTGTGTGATCTTGGCTCGATGATCCAAGATGTTCCTCGAGGGTCCTCGCCGAGAAAAAGACGCACGCGTCCGAGCGATGCCAAGGTCCCCCTTTTTGCGGGGACGGAGGGCGGAGATGGAGAACCACCGCGAAGCTCCAACGGTGCTGCCACAACCTCTGCGATGCCTGCAAGTGGTGCCCGCCCGGGGGGCGGACAAAGTCTGCCCCCCCGCGAAAAGACGGCCACCAACAGAGGAGCTACCCGTGACACATCTTGCCCAGGCGAGCGGACGGGGAATGGGTGGAAATTTGGGCGGAGAAAACGCAAAGGTACCGATGCCGCAACTCCACGGCCCTCTCCTGGGGTGCGTGCTGGCCAGGAGTACGAAGCGAATCCAGCGGTGGCGACGAGGGCCTCCCAGGAGCCTCAAAAAGGCGAAAACGAGACGAGGGCAGCGGTTTGGGCACTCCAGGTCTAGCAAGAACGGGGGGCAGGTCCAACAAGGGCTTGACAGCGCGTCTGGGACACCCCCCTCAAGACCGGTGCAGCCTCGAGTCCAAATCTGAGGCCCCCAAACAATCGTGTTAGACGAAGCCCGTCACGTAGACCCTCACACAGCTGCGCCCCCTTCTTCGCCCCGCCAAGAGGGGCCTGGGACTGCATGTCCGGGGGCAGCTCCCGCAGCTCCTGGGCCGTCGTCTCTCGCCCGTGCGCGAGGGGGGGGGTGTACGGCGGACGTCGTCCTCGCCGTCCTCCCCATCGCCCCCCCTCCCTTTCCCCGGCTGCTGCTACTGCTGCTGCTGCTGCTGCTGCTGCTGCTGCTGTTCACGGCGGACTTGGTCGTAGACCTGAACCCGTCCCCAGCCCAGCCCCCGAAAAGTATGCAAGGACGCGGAGGCGGAGGGGGGAGGAGCGAAGGTCCCTTTCCCCTGCTCTTCCCCCTCGCTCCGTGCTATGGGCCCTCGGCGAGTTCGCTCCGCGAGGCCGACCCCCCTCTCGCGAAGACCTGCACCTGCGCCCAGTTGCGTCCACCTGTCGGTCATCCGCCGTCCTGTCGCCATCCGCCGCTTCCTCCCTCCTTCTGCCTCGGGAGCTCTCGTGGGGAGGAGGCGCTGCTTGGACGGGGCCGCCCGAGGCTCGAAAGCGGCGGCGGCGAGAGCGAGGGGATGAAAAGTCGGCCCCGTCACGACCCCGCCCGAGCCCGGGCATGTCTGGCTGGGGCCGCCCCTCCCCCACCCCACTCATCGATGGGGGTCGACACCAGGAAAAGCATAACCCAGCGCATCCCCCTGACCCTCCTCGAAGGACCAGGGGAGAGTCCAACTTTGAGCTGTGGGCCATGGTGGGCCTCTTCTTATTTGCATCGGGCTGGTCGAGGAAGGGCCGACGAGACATTTTCTTACCATCCGTGAACGGGTGACAACAGAGCGCAGAGAAGCCGGAAACGAGGAAGGAGGAGGAGGAGGCGGGGAAACAAGAAAGCACAGCAGCGCGCCCCGGCGAGCGCGAGGGGCCAGCGGCAGCCCAAAGCGGCCGCCGCGCAACTAATTAACTAATTAGTCTGGCGCGCCCGGGCGCTCCAGCAGGCGCCGTCGCACAGCCGCCCGCCACGCCACCTCGCGGCCCCCGGCGCGCGGGGCATCCAGGAGCAGCAGGCCGGCCGCCCGCGGGGGCAGGTGCGGCGCCCATCCGCTGCACGGGCGGCCCGCGAGGCGCTCCCAGCGCGGGGCCCAGCACCCGCACGCCATGCAGGCCACCCAAGCGGGCCCTTGGGAGGCGACGTGCCCCCGCCAAGCGCTGCAGGCGAACAGCGCCCTCGCCGCGGCGGCCGCCCCTGGGCCTGGCGCCGCGCGCGCCTGTCCCTGCTCCGCCTCTGGGGCCACCGCGGCCGCGATCGCAGCGTCGTCCGCCACGCGGGGCACGCGGCGGCGGCGATGCCCCGCCTGCGCCCAGCGCCGCCGCACGCGCGGGCTTCCAGGGCCGTGCCCGCGGTTGGCCTTGAGCGCAGCGAGCTCCACCGCGGCGAGAACACGCTGCACGGCCATGAGCGCGATCAGCTGCAGCTCGCGCTCCTGGCGCAACGCGAGCGGAGGCAGCCGGGTTTCGGCTGCCACCCCGGCGAGGCGGTCGGCCGCGGCGTTGCCAGAGCGGTCCTCTGGCGACACACCTCGTGCCTGGGCCTCCGCGGCGTCAAGGTGCCCCTTAATCCATCGCGCGGCTAGCGCGTCGCTGCGGCAGTGAGGAACGATCAACTCCCACAGGTCTGCGCGGGCCCAATCCTCGGTGGACGCCCCGGCGTTGATCGCCGCGACGCCGTTGCTGACGAAGCGAGAATCGGTCACTATCTCGACGGCACCGCCTGCCAGGCTGACGGCATGCACCGCTGCCGTGAGCTCGGCGCGCTGCGCGGTCTGCGTGCCGTCGACAAGCCCGCGGCGCTCCTGACGGCCAGCGCCCTGGTCCAGGGCCGACGAGACACACGCGCGATATCTGCAGGCACGCTGCCGCAGACGCAATACGACGAGGAACGCGCGAAACGAACGCGCGCGCGCCACGGCAATGGTGTCTCACCCATGTCGCAGCTTCCCTCCTGCCGCCCGTCCACCGCCAACGCAAACCGCAAAACTGCACCCGTGCTCGTCATCGTGCGCTTTCGGGGCGTCCGGGTGCCCACCCCCTCCGCCCCCCCTGGCGTGCTTCTGCGCGCGTCGATGCCTGGCGGTCCTCGCGGGCCGCCCGCCTGGGACCTCGGGAGCCGCTGGCTGCCCCTGGGCAGCCCTGCGGCCCCTTTCCTCCGCGCCCTGCCTCTGTCAAAAATGTGGTGGGCGTGTGCGGTTGCCATGAGGTCGGACATGTCCCCATACAGTCGGATCTTGGACGAGATATGCAGCAACACACATCTACTCAAATGGTCATAGGAATATCTTCCCCTTACTATTTACTTAACTAGTTTTGAACATTCCTCCTGTAGCAGGACACGCCCGACTTAAAGGTTGCCACGGGCTGCCCTCGGCCGCACGGGCGCATCGGGGTGCCCCCGGGGGGCGCCCCCTGCAGCCCCACTCCCAAAACCTCCCGGGTCGCCCACCCTCGCGCCTCGCGCACCGCGCGGCTACTACTCGACCCCGCCCTGCACCCAGCGACGGGAGCTTCTCGGGCGCCGGCCGCCAGGCGCGATTGTCTTCGCGCCACTGCCCGCGACACGTCTGTCCCATCGGTCTATGCACAGACGCCTCAAAGCACTCCTATGCACAGACGCCTCGTCGCGGCGAGGCCCGATGCTGCCTGTGACGTCGGTGAACTACTTTTTTGGGGGGCCAGCCAATGGGGAAAAGGGACCAGTGTGCTCAGCAGCAGGGGGCGGGAGGAGCAACGGCAGCAGGGGGAAGTCAGGACGGGACGGTGGGGAGATGGTCAATGCCAGGCCAGGCCGGGCGGTGCTAAAGGTCCAATTCCAGCAGGGCCGCATGTCGATAACTCTGGCCCGACTCCGGAACAAAGGCGTTTTTCGATACTCGCCGGTCTTACCGAAAGGGGGAGGTGGGGGACGATGGTCGGTGGAGACGGAGAGGAGTTTCTGGGCAGCCTGGCCCTCTGGCCTGGAGGGAGACGCGGCGGAGGAGCAGCGGCTGGAGTTGGGAGAAGGAGGAGGAGGGGGAGGAGGAGGAGGAGGAGGAGGAGGAGGAGGAGGAGGAGGAGGAGGAGGAGGAGGAGGAGGAGGAGGAGGTGCAGGAGGAGGAGGCAGGACAGGACAGGACATCCGCATGATGGGGGTCAAAGTCAACGCACCTAGACTGATGCCTCGCGCGCGTCTGGCAAAATCCCCTGCGATTTGATTGCGCAACGGCCCTGGCTTCTCACTAAGGCCACAAGGGGGCACGCCCCGAAACTTCAAGGGGCGAATTCCAAGGTGGCCCCGTAAGAGAGGCTTGCAAACTTGTGAGTACGAGTCCCTGCGGGCCATTGCGGGGGGAGCAGCCGCTGGTCCTTCCGCGCGCCCATGGAATGGGGACGCGCCGGGCGAGCGTAGCTCCCGCGCTAAGGGGGAGGAGACGACGACGCGACCACTTGAAAAAGGAAAAGGGGAGTATAATCAGGAAACCCATGCTGTCCAAACTTCTGCTGGGGGGGGGCTAAGTTTCCTACTGGGCGATAGTTGTCCCATGCGTTGTCGTAACTGCACCCCGATACCCTGCTGTGGTATCCCACTGTTCCCCTCCACGTGCAGGTAAGGAGAAGCACACTGGTAGTCACGGCATGTTGGAGGTGGGGCCCTCGTTGGTGCGCTCTGGTGGCCTTCGCGGTTATCACTGTTTTTTCATGTCCCCCCCCCCTCCCTGAAGTAGTTCACCTGTTGGCGCTCCAAAAAAACACTTCAACAAAAAACGCTTCCCAAGACGTTGTATGCGCGAGTTCTCTCTCAAGGATCCTCGCGCCGAGATTGCCCCGCTAGTGATGGTTCCACTGAATCCGCCCGTCCTGCCAACCCAGAGTCGCACTCCGAGATAATCTCGGTAATGCACCTCTTAATGTTGTCAATGTGCCCCAGGGACTCCAGTGGGCTCCCTCATTTGCGACAGATGGAGCTGGCCGCCTCCTCCGGCTTGGCGTACTTATCGAAGATCTCGGTAACATCCAGCAAGGTTTTCGCGCTGTCTCGTAGCTCCTGACGCTTTTTGATGTTGTTTCACCTCCTCTGTGTCGAGATTGCCCTCGCTACTCAACTCCTGCATGGCGACCTTCATGACGCTGTACAGGTTCTCCTCGTCATCCTTCGATATCTTCAGCGCCAACTCGCACCAGCTCTGCACAGTGAAGGCCTTCCTCCGAGCTCTTTCCCACAAGTCCACTGGGTACCTTACGATGAGATCGCATCCGTCGACCTTGTGCGTCATCGGGAAGGCCAGTGGGATCAGCTCGAGTTCCTCTGGGCCCATCTTCTAGGCGGCGTCGTAGAACTTGTAATGGTTCTCCTCGATGGCGTCGTCTAGCTTCTGCGGCAGCCGTCCGGCTACAAACGCTTCCCACTTCTCTCCCACCTTGAGCTCCATCACCATTGAAGGCCCTCTAGGAGGGGAGGAGGAGGAGGAGGAGGAGGAGGAGGAGGAGGAGGACGAGGAGGACGAAGGGGAAGGGGAAGAAAGGGGAGGAGGGGGACACGAGCAAACCGAAGGTGCATCAACGATTCAAGTCCCCTCCTCATGAGTCCTTGTAAGCAAGACGGCCCCCCTCCGAAAAAGAGCTCCCTTGACAAAAACTAACGCCTCATAGGCCCATATTTCAAACGGACGCTTCTTTCCACAAGGCACTGCCATCCATCATTCGAGCTTTTACAACTGTGCATGAGTGTCGTGCCATAAAGTCCAAGGGAGTGCCAAACGACAGACCTGCCTCGAAAGAAGTTCGCAGATTACTGGACTGGGACCGCCCTCGGTCTGTGTAAGTATTCGGTTTCACAGGGCCATCTGCTCCAAGCGGTTCCATGAGCGCCTCGGAGGAACGAATGAGAAGAGAGACAGGACCAATGAGGGCCTCCCGAAGCTCTCCAGACGGCCCAGGACAGCCCCAATAAAGCCTCGAGATTGCCCATCAGATGCCCATGACAATCCAAGGGGGACCTAAGATGGCCCCAGGACAGCCTCAATAGACTTCCCGGAGAAGGGCCCAAGACGACCAAGGGCCCAACACGGCCACAGAGGGTCCCAAGAACGGGCTCGCCAGAGCCCAAGACGGCCCAAAGACTGCCAAGAATTGCCCCATGAGAGCCCCGCAAGGAATGGAGGCGAAAAGTGCCACATGTTAAGGCCTTCTGGATGGTGCTTCACCACCTCCAACACGGAAGTCACTGTTTTGCGCTGCCAGAGCTTACCATAACACGAACACGCAATAACAAACCACTGTCCAGGACCCATAGTTACAGCTTAGTGCTACTGCTGTCAGGCAGCCGCCAGGACAAGGGCAAGTGGGCGGTAAGCACATGGGAATATGCATGATGAGGGCATCCATCATGAGGTGGGACAAAAACGGAGATTGACGCATAGCAGAGAACGCGTCCCAAACAGCTGTTCCACAAACGTCACCAAACATCTGGCCAAACACGCAAACAAACCACACACAACGAACATGGTACGTGTTTACGTGCTCCAGCCATCCAGCAACTAAAATAACATGATCATAACAAAAACATAGGGTGCGCAACAGCGACGAAGACCCTCACCACCACCACCATGACCATCATCATTAGTATCATCATCACCATCACCATCACCATCACCATCACCATCACCATCATCATCATCATCATCATCATCATCATCATCATCATCATCATCATCATCATCATCATCATCAGCATCAACATCAACATCATCAGCAGCATCATCATCACCGTCATCATCGTCTTCATCGTCTTCATCATCATATTCATCATCATCACCTTCTTCATCATCATCATCATTATCATCATCATCATCATCATCATCATCATCATCATCATCATCATCATCATACTCACAGTCATCATCATCGTCATCGTGATCACTAGTTGCCGCATCATAATAATCTTCCCCAAAGACGCCTCACTTCAATCCTCCAGAACGGCCGAAGACGGCGAGGTGCCACATGTTACGACGGAAAGTGTCACCTGGTACTTCCATCTCGACTCCCCCTCCCCTGACCATGGTTTCCGCATCCTCTTACTCCGCCCCAGCAGCCCAAGACAAATCCAACAATGGCCCAAACAAGCCTCATGAAGGATCGTCAAGGCATGCTGACGCGAGGCGTCACATGTTACGGCCTTCTGGGCCTGGTCTCGAAGCGACGCCACAGCGACTGATGCGCTGGACAAGTGGCTGAAAGACAGCTCGGCAAGTCCAGAGAGCTATGTTATGGCACCACATCAATGCACATCCAATTTCGGGGAACGTAAGACTGGGGTACGGGGGACTCGGGTTGGCCTGACGAGGGCCATCGCAAAAATGACGCGACCAATTCTGAAATGTGACGCGGGCTCCCGCTGCAGAAATCTCACGAAAACGGGACCACCAAAATCCAGGACGCGCTCGTCAAAAGAAAGTCGGCAAACCCGAGTTCCGGCTTACTCGAGTCATACGTTTCCCCTACGATTTCCTGAGTCGAACAACTCAGGACTGAACTTGGCCAGATGGGCGGGACTTCACCGCCCCTCGCGTTTTTATGGACGGGACTCGATGCGCCCTGCTTCGAGACTGCATACGGGTTGTACTGGAGGGTGAGATCACATCCCGTCCCGCCACAGAGACTCTTCGCTAGGAGTCTGAGGGGGATGGGGGAGTCGTCGTCACGATCATGTCGACGATAACGTAACCGCGGTCGTGATGTGAACGGCCATGGCGGTCACCCGCAATCAACTCACCGTGTGCCAAATGCCGAACGCACGAGCGGATCAACCTGCCGCACCTGCCACGCGAGATGCCCATGTGAGAAGTTCGAGAACTTAATTCCGCCGCAGCATGAGCGAGGGAAAAAACATCAGGGCAATGGGAGGGAGGAGCGGCAGCACAGAGGGGAGGAGCTCCTGGGCGGCCCTCTCGTCGAGGCTCCACCGCGATATGAACTCCTCCACCTGCGCGGTGGCCCGCAGCCACGCCCGCGTCTGCTCTACGCCCCCAGGTACAAGCACGGGGCGAAGGGGATGGACAAAGGGCGAAGGGGAGGAGGGGGCTCGAGATCCCGGGTCTTTGGAGGCGCTTGGGCCCGACTCCTCCTCCTCCCTCCTCCTCCTCCTCCTCCTCCTCCTCCTCCTCCTCCTCCTCCTCCTCCTCCTCCTCCTCCTCCTCCTACAGGGCCCGCCGCAGGAGAGGGGCAACGGGAAGGGGAGGCAAAAGAATGCACCGATCGACTATAATTATGCCCGCGCATCTCCCATGTCCACTGCTGGCGAACACGTGTCAACTGGAACGAAGAAGATTCGGCCCGGCATATTGAGCTGTTCCGCGTGCGAACGCTTCGAGTCGTGGGCTTGATAGGGGGCACCCAGGAAACGCAGGAAAGCTCACGTCATGAATGGCGTCAACATTCCAGCACGCGCCCGCAGCGACAACACGCGCTGGAAAACCAGGCCTCGTGTGATATCAACAGTTTGCACCAGCAGTGGGTCCACGACAGGCAGCCAAAAGTATTGAACGAAAGGCAAAAAAGGTCAACAACAGGAACAACAGAAGGGTGAACAAATACGAAAATGATAAGCCGGGGGCGTCCAGCAGGAGGGCGGCGACCAAGAGGGGGGGTTTGCGAATCATGGCGCGAGGCACGGTGAGGCCCGGGCGGCGGCCAGGGGACGCACTGACACCTGAAGAGGTGCCGTGGCCCGGGCCATGACATGCCCACCCCCCCCTCGGGTCGTCGCCCCAAGCCTTGGCCGCCCCGGAGGGCGCAGGAGACGCAGAGACCAGGCAGGAGGCGGCGGGCATGGAGGAGCCGACGGCCCGAGCAGAAGCGAGCTTCGCGCCCGCTCGGGGCCTCCCGCGGGGCCGCGGGGCCGCCCAGCCAGCCCCCCGCGCAGCCCCCCGCGAACGCCGCAGGGTCGCGGGCGCGGTGCGGGCTGCGGCTGCGCGGCCGGGACGATGACGACGATAGGGGAACAAACACTGGCACAGACATGAAGACTCGGAGGTCCGCGCGGATTCCTCGGGTCGGTGCCGGGGCCCCCTGGCGGCGCCTCCGGCGCCGCCCCCGGCGCGCTCCGCGCAGCAGTGAGGGGGGCCCAGCGCCGATCAGAGGAATCCGCGCGGACCTCCGAGTTTGTGTGTTAGATGCCTCCTAGATGGGGTCCGAGTAGGAGGATCGCGCCGTATCGCCAATGCATCGGCGATGCATCGTCGATGCATCGCCGACGTCGGCGACGCGTCGGCGACGTCGGCGTGGATAACATCGGGCTCCGCATCGAGCCGCATCGTCGATGCATCGGCGATGCGGCGTGATCCTCCGACCCCCTCTACTCCGACTACTCCATCTAGGAGGCCAACTTAGATGGGTTTATTTAAGTGTCTGTCTCCCTAGAAGAGATGTGCGCGTTCATCGGCAAACCTGCCCTCACGCGGTCGATGCGGGTCAGCAGCACCGCGGACGGGTTGCGGCAGTTCGACAGGTCCCTGTCAGGAGCGCGCCAGCCCATGCGCAGACACTATCCGCCACAAGATCGCGAAGCTCTGCATAGAAGACCCTTGGGCCCCGTCGAGCTCTCAATGTTAGAGAACGTAACTGCGCGTCGAGTGCCCCAAACCGCAGATCCCCGGCATCCTAGAACGCTGTTTGGCGCTCCCGAGAATCGCCGCATGACCTTTTCCCCAAGAAGCTTTGCGAGTGTTTGGGGGCCCGAGCATCCAACATGCCCTGAGATAGTACAGTGGG